AACGGTTTGTTAAGCACCCGTAAGCTTAACGGGAGTAGTGTAGCTCGAGAGAGTCTCTCGGGAGACTGGACTAGCCACACATTGTGGTAAACCAGTATAAATCTTGGTGTGCTCCCTTTACTCCTTTTTATTCCGCTCTTTACTTTATCCTGCAATTCTTATTCCGCGAAAATTTATAAACATTCTCGTGCCTCACTATTCACCCCCCCCCCCAGTGAAGGGCACCTATTCTAACAGATTTTTGGGCTGATCTTCCTTGGGTTTATTTGGGGACAAATTTCGTCCATATAAAGAAGAAAACAAAGGGAAATCAAGCTTTAGACATTTGAGCTATAAAATGCCAAAACAATACTATTCATTCAATGACTTTATTTGTGATTTTGTCCCTTTGTATCAAAAGTGATTATGCTTTTGCTTTGTGAAACAAAAGACTTTATTCTTTGTTGAAAATCAGGGGATAATTTCAGCTTTATACCCAATCTTAGGATGAGCAAACAGGAACTGATTCACTCAGGGTTAAGAGACGTAGGATAATCGATTAGCACATTTAGTAAATCGAATAATTGAGTTAAGCTCAAACTGGGAATGTTTTGAGGAACCTGATAATCGATTGACACTACAAGACAATCGATTTACAAGGACTTATTCGGAACTGGATATTTTCTGAGGGTGAGGATAATCGATTATCAAGTTATTGACAATCGATTATGAGAAGTTATGGACTTTGAAGAAGAATCTTCGGACTTCAATAGTCAATTATCAATTAAGGATAATCGATTATTTAGGGGTTCAGAATCAGGATTAGAAGAAAAGAAGAGAAGGCATTATATTTGGGTAAAAAAGGATTTGAAAAGAAACAAAGGTTTTAAAAGATAAAAACAACAAACAAAGGTTTTGGCTTTTATTTTCTTCTCATTTTGATGGAAAAGACTTTATTTTTGATAAAAGAAAGGAAAGAAAACTTTTGGATATGTTGGGAGAGTTTGGGTTCCAGGGATACAACACTGGATGACTATCGGAAAATCTCAAGGTGCAAGACGACCAATGAGATATGGAACAAATTAGAGGTCACATATGAAGGAACAAGTCAAGTGAAGGACCCAAAGATCGACTTACTCACCCATGAGTATGAGCTTTTCATGATGATGGAAAATGAAACAATAGATGGCATGTTCGAGAGATTTTCAACTATCATCTCAAATTTGGATACACTTGGGAAGCATTATGAGGATCATGTTCTCGTTCGAAAAATCCTTCGAAGTCTCACACCGGAATGGAAGTCTAGGGTCAATCCTATCAAAGAAGGCCGAGATTACAATACATTGACATATGACGCACTTCGAGGTAAACTACTCACGTATGAAATGTCTAACTTTTCTAGTGCAGCGAAGATAAAAAAGGGATCAAAATCTATCATTCAAAGGAGTTGCACTCAAAGCTTCATCGTCAAAATATGTCAAGACAAGCGGCTCTGGAGAAAGTGACATTCTCAAGTTATTTAATGACTTCTTGCAAAAAGAGCTTGAGCAATTGAATGAGAGTACAAAGCCTACTTGCTATGGATGTGGAGAGCGTGGACATATAAGGGGTCATTGCCCTAATCGAAAAATCAAGAAGTCCAAACGCCGAAAGCAATCCAACTCTAGCTCATCTTCCTCATCCGATGATGAAGTAGCCATTTGTCTTATGGCTCAAAGTGAATCCAAAGAGGTAAGTTCTTCTAACGATCCTTTTAATTATAGATAGAATAATAAAATTACTTTTCAAAATTTTTCTAAATATATCTAGCCTAATCTGAATAGAGACAATACGATATGGTCTGATCTGATTTGAAGACGTGATCGAATTACGTCTGATTTGAGTGCATTTGATCTATTATGATAGAATTTGATTTTACTAAAAACAAATAATGAATAAGAAAAAATAATTTGAACAAAACGAAACCTAAGAGAATGAAAAAATATGATGATAAACATTAAATAGAGTAATGACTCCTAATAAGTACTTCATAATGAAGTGGGATAACAAAATGAGGTGGGAGAACCGATGTGAAGAATTAACAAGAAGAAAACTAGTAAGGGCGTTAATGCAATTTCTAGAATTTAAAATGAGGTGGAGTCTTTTATATAATACTAGTGTTAACCCCGTGCTTCGCACGGGCTCGTAAATATTCTAAAATTTTAACATTCTACTTTTTATTTTCATTACTCATTTGATAAAATAATATAGTCATGTCATTTATATTTTTTTAAACTTTTTTAAATATAAAACTTTTGTCCTTGATTGCAGCAACCCAAAATAGCTTGATTAGTCCTTAAAAGTGAACTACTGCAAATTGCTAGCTAGGACCCAAGAGATACATGGCTCCTTCATCGTCCTGAAGATCACAGTCTCTAAGCTAAAAAAGATCCACTAATCGTGAGTGCACACTAAACAATAGCTTAAAGCTTTCAATCACCAATCAACCACCTGCTGATGAAGCTCGAAACCCAAATACAGCAAGAAAAATAATGAATCAAACATAAACTATTGCCCAGGTTCTCAAGACCCTTGGGTCAATTCCCTTTGAAGGACCAAAACAACATAACCGAAGGACCATGAGACTGAAAATGACCCGTCCCAGAATGAAATCCTAATCAATCCTGTTCTCCGCATAAATGTGCTAGAACGACATTCATATCCTCTTTCGCATAAGCTAGGTACACAGGATATCTTGCACCTTCCATTGTTGCTGCTTTTGATTGCCTCTCTTGTAACCCTAACGACTTCCTCTAAGTAATTGAGGATCTGTCCTTTATTGAGAGCATCCAAAAACTGTTTGCTAGCAATAGATTTCCTGAAAAGGTTAATGTTATCCTTGATAACTTGATGAAATAGATTCAGACAGCCCTGATCTAAAGGAACCTCTGCCAATGGTTTGGGCCTTTGCAAACTTTCCATCTCTTTCTCCATAGTGAGGTCAACAATTAGCCTACTTCCAAGGTTAATCTGTTCTTCAACATGTTTAGCATCTGAAGAAACTCCCTGATAACATCTCCACCCCTCATCCTTGCAAACTTTACCCGACCCAAGACCTTCTTGAATTGGCAGTGGCTGAGGCAAGAGATTACATAATCCATTCGAGTTCCTCATTAATTGAGATAGACCCTTACTGAAAAGTTTTAGCCCCTCTAAGTAAAAACCAGTAGGGATGATAATCTGATTATACGAAGACCCTGATTTTGACACTAGGCGTGCAAAATGTCCAAAACGATTTGAATCCCAAGAAACTTTGATAGAGAAATCTCCATCGTATCTAGATATTTCACAATTTTCTTTTGAGAAATCGTGCCTCGTAATAGTATCGATCAACCAGTGTGCAATATCCCAAGAGATTGTTAAGGAACGTGATTTACCTGATTTGGATTCTGAAATTCTGATACATTGCACTTCCGCTAAAAGTTCGAAGTCTTTGCTCTCTATCGATAGTGTAACCAGACCATCTGCGCAAACATTTGGACCCGAGTTCCGGCGCCTCCAGTAGCTTCGTCTCACAGATTTCTATGAAACCCTATTATACTGGAGACTCGCTGGACGCGATTGGAGTGGCTCGCCATAGTATCTGGATCGGCCAAAATCCCTGACCTGTTGCCGGAAAGGACCACTGCTAACCCCTCTCTCTCTAAAATCCCTAAACGCCATTTTATACATATACATACATATATATATATATATATATATATATATATATATATATATATATATATATATATATATGGGATTGACTCCAGTCAGATGACATGTTTCGATCAGATAACACTTTCGGTCAGATGACAACGAACGCTCATTCTGAATCAATGTAGCGCTCATTCTTAAACAACGTAGGATTCATTCTCACACAACTGTTAATCACAATGTATGTAGTGTTCATTCATAGCCAGCGAGACGACAACATAGGGTTCATTTTGAATCCACGTAGTGTTCATTCTAAGACACCGTAGGGTTGACTTTCACACATTTGTTCATTATAAACGTAGTACTCATTCTGAAACAACCTAGTACTCATTCACAGTCTGGTCAGTGTAGTGTTCATTCTGAAATAAGGTGGTGCTCATTCTAAAGCATGTCATCTGACCGAAAGTGTCATCTGACCGAAAGATGTCATCTGACTGGAGTCAATCCCTATATATATATATATATATATATATATATATATATATATATATATATATATATATATTCCAATTCGTTCAATTTTTTCCAATTCCCTAAAACACTTCCATTTTCTATTAAAAAACTACTTTTAACTCTACTTTTTCATATCCTACGGTAGGATAATACTTTTTCACTAATAACCAAACTATCACATCTTACTTTTACCCATCACATCAGGAGTAAAATTAGAAAGTCAACCAAAATTACATTTTCCTTACTTTGGCTAAAAGTCAAAACAGGAACCTTTTAAGGGAACAGAGGGAGTATGATTTAACCATATAGTACTCACTATTTAATTATAGATAGAATAATAAAATTACTTTTCAAAATTTTTCTAAATAGATGTAGCCTAATCTGAATAGAGAGGATACGATATGGTCTGATCTGATTTGAAGACGTGATCAAATTACGTCTGATTTGAGTGCATCTGATATATTATGATAGAATTTGATTTTACTAAAAATAAATAATGAATAAGAAAAATAATTTGAACAAAACCAAACCTAAGAGAATGAAAAAAAATATGATGATAAACATTAAATAGAGTAATGACTCCTAATAAGTACTTCATAATGAAGTGGGATAACAAAATGAGGTGGGAGAACCGATGGGAAGAATTAACAAGAAGAAAACTAGTAAGGGCGTTAATGCAATTTTTAGAATTTAAAATGATGTGAAGTCTTTTATATTGGCTTTGTTTGGGAAGAGCGTCTTCAATTAGCGTTATTGTTTTGGATAAAATATTAAGAATGTAGATTAATTCGAAAAACACTAAAAACTACCGTTCAAAACGCTAACGCTAATCTCTAACGTTGATGTCAAACGGAGCCATAATATATACACATGGCAGTAATTTAATGGAAGGGTATCCATACCCTCTCTCGTTTGCTTGGGCATGCGAGAAACACCCGTTCTATTTACTCACCTCTCTCATTTCTCGTTTTTATTTCCACTTTCAATTACACCAGCCCCGGTCGTCGTCTTCCTTCTCCGCCGATGTCGTCTCTTTCCTTCACCGCCACCGTCTTCATCCTCTGTCGCCTCAGAAGCCATTTGTGCGGATGTCGTCTTTGTCGTGGTCATCATTCTTCGCTTAGGGCTTATACCTCCCTTCTCAGATCGGATTCTCCTTCCATCAGATTTGTGTCCATAAGATTTGTGTACCTCGATCAGTTGAGAGGTTTGATTTTTCACCTTCTACTTTTTGCTGTTCGTGATCTTCGTTTGTCCATTTGGACTGTGGCTGTTGAAATGTTGAATGTTAATAGACGAAGGCCAAGCAACCAGAGATATAACCCATTTGGGGGCTGCGATCTATTGCTTTCTCTCCTCCATCATTGTATTTTCTTTTCTTTTCTATTTTTTCTTATTCACTAGCTATGTGTTAGGGTTTACAATTTCAAACAACACCCCGTATTTTGTTAATCATTTTTTGTCAAGGTTTTGTTACTATTTCCTTCTCGTGTTAGGTTTTGTCCATTCCTTGTTATTTGGCTGTTGTATTGCTCTTTTGCTTCTTGCTCTAATCAATTGGTGCTGCTGGTCTATTTAGTGTATTTGGGTAAGATACTTAGAGTTTTTTTTTTCTTTTGAAAATTTATTTAAAGCAGTTGGAACTTTGAAAAGCACCCTTTTGCAGAGACTAAAATTGTGATGCAGGAGGTTATGACATGGAGGAAAAAGATACAAGGGCATATGAAATAAGGCAACTGCCTGCAACATAATGGTCTGCGACCTCTTCTAAGAAAAAGCGTACGAATATAGGACTTTAGCAGTTCCTCTGTAACTCAAATTCCTCTTCAGTGTTCCCTGCAAATCCACCAATTTAGAGAGCTTCTTCACACCATTTTTTTTTCTATTCTAATTTCTATATATTTGCGGTAGGATCTCAAATCATCTTACTCTGTAATGTCACCTTCTCTTGAATTCTTTATTTAAACCTGTACTTTTCAAAAAAATGGTGATCTTGAATTCATTTTTACTGTTTTGTGATTTTTGAATTTCCTCTCTTTACATAATTAGATAACCTTCAAGTTAAAGTGCATTTAGGTGCAAGTATGTCTCTCATTCATTGTAGGAATTTGGAAGAAAAGAAAAGAAAATAATTCTCTCTTTTTCTTTACCAAAATAGGTAAAGAAATGGTGTCCAAATTATTTAATCTGTTGTTTAACAAATCAAATTTAAAAAATACCAACAAATATCTCTATAATTTTTTGATTTATAATGGCTATGATTCACCTTCCTTTCATATATGCAGGCCAAAAACGAGTAGCTCTATGAGTGGGAAGACTCTATTAAATGGCAATTTTGAATTTTTTCATTTGTAGATGCATTCGGTTGTTAATTTGTTGTTTGTGTGTGACTATTATTTGTCTTTCAATTACTAAAATTGATTCGGAGTGTGAGAAGCGAAAATGTTTAAATTTAATTAGACTGTTGAATATTGAACAAGGTTGTACTCTGAAACGTGCCATGGTCGTTCAGATTAACTAGAAGATGATGAAATTCGCCATGATTAAAGATTTGTACTCTGAATCTGTTCGACTAAGGCAAGGCCAGTATTTCCTTTCTCACATGTA